TCGTGACATTTGAAAAATCGGGTATAAATTTATTAGCTTTATGTTTGCAACTTTGCATTACAATTATGTATTTATGTATAGTAACGAAGAAGATCACAAATGAAAAGGTCAATATGTACGAATGAGAAGTAATTTGGAAATTTTACTCAAAACTACCAGATTTTTTTTAAAAGGCGATGAAAAATGGACTAAAAGGTTTTTCTGAAATATTATACAATATGTAGAGCAAGCTTAATTATCAAAGTTTAATTTAGCACCTCAAACTCCCCATTTAAAGGTTAAAATGACCATTTTTTACATGAGTTCTCCAAGTATATAGAAAAGTTTTCCACAGAAATCCGTAACGTTTTCCAGGAACTCCGTGACAGTTATCATAAGAACTCCAAACAAGTTATCATAAGAACTCCATCCTTCGTGTAACACTTCCTCCCCGTGAAAACGTTACAGATAGAGTTGGTGGACTGACTTCTGTAGGATATCATCGTTATTTTGTAAACACCATGCGAAAAATATTCTGGATACAGAAGGATCAGATTTCACAGATCATAACCTTATAAGTGGGTTAGTGTTTTGTTTTCTAAATAAAACACAGCTTATTTTGTGTTTATGACTGGTAGATATCAGCACTTGCTTAAAGAATAAAAGAAAAACAGCTTCTCAAGTAGGCCTACAGTACACTTAAAACTTGCAAGGTAAAGACAGTTTATTGGTTTATTTTTGTTACAGTTAAATTTAGTTTACAAATTCAGATCATCACAGTATTTGTTCGGGGTAATAACGCCTCGGGTAACAGTATTTTCCTCGGGATGGTATTTTTACTGTTACCCACAAACCCATGTGTTATTTATATACTAATATTTAATGAAATTCGCGCCAAATAATAATACAACGTGACGTCAATTACGACGTCACGTCATTTATTTGACTCCCAGTACTTTGTATGCTGGTATATCACCGAAAATATAATGGCTTTAAATTCAAAACAGTGAAAATATCAAATTGATATTTTCATTGTTTCACACAGTGAAATATCAGTTTTATAGCGAGCGCGACGAGCTGGCCCTGCTAGGTAATGGTTTTGAAAACTTTCGTCCGAAGTACCGAATTGGACACATCGCGACTTTTCGAATTACAAAATAACGATAAAAGCCGATGTACTCTGATTGAAAACGGAAGCGTAGACTGGTGTCCTGCGCACTTATATGGGAACCATAATAGAAAAGGGGGACCAGAATAAACAGAAGCAGTGTATAAAATACCGAATGACAATTTTCGTCAACAAAATTACTATTTTCAGGTAAAATGTATTTATTTTATACATTGTTTAATGTTTTAGTAAAAAAAAATATTTCGTTTTATATATTTATTTTTGCATCAAAATAGTTCGATTTTTATATAAATTCAATTCGTGTATGGATAAATCTATATGATATTTAAAGACATTTTCTACAGTTTTATGAAAATTTAATCCTTTCATAGAATTTTCTATTTTTTTTTGTATGATAAGTAAAATTTAATGGCGAATTCAAAAATAAAAAGAAAAATATATGTTGACGTGTTGCATTTCTTGTAAAATGGCATTTTCCATGGTAACCGTATACATGTATCTCAAAACTGTCAAAATAGCCAAACTGTGATATAACAAATAGAAAATGTATAAGATAGCTTAATACACACAACAAGCATTGTTTTATGCAAAGATAACCTTATCCAATGATTCTGTATGAAACAAATGATAATCTGAACATATTCCTTTAAAAAATGAGTTTTCCATGTTCCTTAACCGAACAAAAAATGAGAAAAATAAACATTTATTCTGTGAATAATTAAAGATATTGAAAAAATTCTTTCATAGGATTTTCTAATTTTTTAGTATGTTGTGTAAAATTTAATGACGAATTCAAAAAGAAAAAGAAAAATATATGTTGACGTGTTGGATTTTTTGAAAAATGGCAGTTTCCATGGTAACCGTATACCTCAAAATTGTCAAAATAGCCAAACTGTGTTATAAAAATGTATGAAACAGCTTATTACACATACAATAAACATACTTTTATACAAAGCTTGCTTTATCTTAGGTTTCTGTATAAAACAAACGATAATTGGAACATATTTCTTTAAAAAAAATGAGTTTTTCATGCTTTTTAACTAAACAAAAAATGAGGAAAATAAACATGAATTCTGTAAAAATTAAAGCTATCAAGAAATTTCTTTCATAGAATTTTCTACATTATTGATATATCAAGTATTATTTCATGCTTTCCAGTGTTTTATTGTAATATATCAGATGATTATATTCTGATAAACCACTAGTGAAATTCATAAAATATAATTTTCACTGTAGCCGGACTATATCTGAATGCGGATGAAAAGAAAATTAAACTAAATGGAATAACAGGCAGAAATAAATGCCGTCATACGTAAATATTGCTTCTTTAGGAAAAGAGAGTCGATGTCACCATACATCATGTTAAAAATGTAACAAAATTAGAGAAATTTAACAGAACTATATTTCAAAATTGATGATGTGACGTCATGATGTGATGACGTCACAAAGAAGAATGCGCGACGTTACGCGGCAAAATCAGTAAAAAATACCTAACATCACTTACAAAGCATGAAATAAAAAGAAAATTTATTTGTTTTACATATAAGATCGAAATATATTTCATTCGTGAACACCAGCTACATGTATTATATTTTCACTCGTGGCTACGCCACTCGTGAAAATATTGCATCTGGTGTTCACTCAGTGAAATTATATTTCAATCTTACATGCACAACAAACAAATATCCTCTATACATTTAATGGCGGATTCAAAAATAGAAATAAAAATATATGTTGACGTGTTAGTTTTTTGTAAACGGGCAGTTTCCATGGTTACCGCATATGCCAACTGTCAAAATATACTGAATATGTTTTTAAAACATATTTAGGGCCATATTATTTTTTCACTCTACTAACATACCCAAACAGTAAGCAAGTATTCAGAAATTTACAAAGAAATATAATGAAATTCGGAACATTTCTTAGATATTTATTTTGTTTTTTATTCAACACTTTTAAAATATACCATTTTAAATTTCTTTGCCCAGTTGTCTGCCAGTAATCAAGTGGCGACGCACTTTCGTCACTATACTACAAGTGGGTGGGGTAACGCGCGCAGATTCATCATCAATGCTGTCGTACTATTGATAAGAGAAATCCTTTATCTGATATTGTCTAAACGACCTCTTATTCTTTTGAACCGATCTCCTCCTGAACATTTAGAAATATCTACTCTGTATTTTTTACTCATTATATCGCTTATAGCCGAAATTTAAACACTTATCCGAATACTATTCAACTTGACCTTCTTTTTGAAGAGTAATTATCCGTGATTATCTTTCTTGGAAGCGCATAACGATGCGCACGGAAAACTACCGAAAACGTCTTTAAATATATTTCGTATATAGTTCATTTTATCTGTAATTTATTTTGACATGTTAAATTATTTTTTCACTAATATTGTTCAACAATTTATTTACTTATACTGCTTGATAAGTTTTTATAATAAAATAAAACTTTTATTTCTCTGTAATAATTGGTCATCTCTTCGTTTAGGGTTGAGCACCTGACCCTCAATGTGCGCGACCACGCCCTAAATCGTGTATACAAGTCAGCTCTGTATACTTCCGGGAGATATATTTAATTCACGTTTCTATTTATAACATGATGATGTTATTCTTAAAATAGAATCCAAAAATTGCCGCCGCGCATCTGTTTTTCAAAATGGCCACCGCGCATGTGTACTGAGGTAATTTCTTCTATGCAATTGAGTTACTATTGATAGAAAACAAAATGGCCGCTGCGCATGCGTAGTCGTGACGTTAAAGAGACACCTATACTACTACATGTATATTGATTCAAGATTAAAGGGCTTTTTTCTCAGTGTAAATAATTCATTCAGCGGATGTACCTTTTGATTAAATGAGAGTAAATTTTCACTTTATTAATTATCTTTGTTTATATTTTTCATTGTATTTATTTATTTATTTATTTTATTTTATTGATTCCATTTTTGTGCTACTCGGAATGTTACCACTGCCCCATTGGAGCCTCTGTGGAAAAAAACTACATTGATATATACAAGGTTCGAAAAAAAAACTCGAGTTTTTTTCCAATGCTATATATCAATACAGTTTTCAAATGCTCATTGAAGTGTACTGAGTATAATGGGTTAGTAAGAACAAAGGAACAACAGTTCAAACCATGCGATAAATCAAAATAGACATTATTCTTTGCGTAAAACAGACAGATTGACCTAGTACTTTGAAATAATTGCTGTAAATGATACATGTAACCTCTTCGTTAATTAACGGTCAATTACTTTCTACGATTAATGTTAAAATGAGGACACTGAAAAATATAATGAAACTCATCACCTAATAAAGAATTTTTGGACAGAGATTGCAATATCTTAATATTATTGTCTAAAATATGGAATAATTTGAACATATCAATTGGTCTTTGATTCTACTTTTGACAATATTTTTTATAATAAGAAGTTGATAGCACAGATTGGTTTGTTCAGTATTCAGCAAAAAAACCAAGCTCTTGCAATTGTTTTTTTTTAACATAAGCTCTCCATGGGGAGTGATATACATTTTGACGGTCCAATTCAAACATGTGGATCAGCCACAAATAACAAACTGCCACCGAGAGGCGACTGTTTCTCAAAAAATCGCAATATCGGCCGACGTCCTCAAAATCGTCAAATCCGCCGATTCTGTAAAAATCGTCAAATCGGGCGGCGCCCGTTTTATTTGTGACCTAGGCGTTATAAAGATTCATATACACAAACGACAGCCAAAAATAAGAAAACTGTATCCTCTATTTGACCTTAATTGGAAACATATAAGAGGTATTCTCAGGGACAATTTGCAATTTACTATAAATTGGCATTTACTCCAATGGTATTAGTGTGTTTATGTGTTATTCTTTATAAATAAACCGATAGAACATTGTATGTTATTTTATTATCATGAATAAATCTAAAGCTTTGGATACACGTTTAAAAACTCTTACCCGAGAGTTATTTCAATAGAAATTGCATTCACCATTAACAAATATTCCGACCTGATTTTTAAGTTCAAATATGTGGCATCTTTTCTCTGTGGAACACCAATTTTGAATAATCATCCTTTTCTGAGATATGATTTGTTGTTTGTTCAGCTTCTTGTTGCTATCGTGTTGTCATAAATATATGATAACATTTCGTCAGTTTAAAGATAAAAAGAAAGAAGAAGAAGAAGAAAAAAGATTCATGTATAGATTTTATCTATTAAACAAATATTCCCACAATGTTTCTTTATAAATTATTGTAAGTTAATATTTTTACATTTCCATGAAGTTAATTAATAAGTATTGTCATTAGCAATAATTGACTTATCGAATGACCTAGCCAATAATTGTACACTTTTTTTTGCCGCATTTTGCACAGTACCCCTGAATACTGGTTCTTCCGTTCGCTAGGACTATCATCTTGTGATCCAATGTAACCGTTTCTTCTTGACATTGTAAGCAGTACGAGGATATCTTCATTTTTTTTCTAGAACAGTAAAACATTTGGTCAATTTAACACAATCCTAGTCAAAATATATCTTTTGTATATATACATAAATATTCTATTTTTTATTTTTTTCACAACTTTCTTAGGTATATCTAAGCATATAATTCATTTACACTTGTTCTTGAAAGCAAAGATCTAATGTAACTACTGCAATATCATTTACGAAAAAAAAAAACCAAAGAAACGATAAACGAATTTAAGAACCCATCCAGAACGACAAAACCACGAAATTGCATGCCCATGAAATTAAGTGAATTCACAATATTCAGCTGCATTGTAACGAAACAAAGAAACAAAACAAAAAATATTAGGATTACCTCTTGGTTAGACAAATCACAAGCCTAGTTTTCTTACTCTTCTAGTATTTTAAAGCCCACTTGTTGTGTATATATTTAATATATATTGATATCAACACCTAATGAACACCATGTATATTTACGATTTATATCTAATTTATTGCGTACTTTCATTTATTTGAACTGATAAAACATGATATCAAGTATATAAGTAGATATACCACGTGGCTCTTATCAGCTAATTTCGGTTTTTTCATTTTCAGAAAATATGAAAATCCATGTTTGAAACATGTAATTGAAAGTGTTACTCTATACACAACCAATTTTACAAAATTGTTTGACCTATTTTTTATCTTATTATTTTTTTAATATAATAAGTATTTAATTTCAAAGGTTATTATCGATATTTCATTTCAGAAAATATGATCAACATTTAGGTCAGCGTTCAGCGATCGATTTAACTTTCCACTTAAATATGATATTGAAATATGTTGTTTTAAATTAAAGGAAATTCTGATTTTGGGAGACTTATATATTGATACAATGGGAACGTTTCAACTTAGAAAATTTAGCAGCAAATAAATCTTTGTCTGATAGAGGGAGGCATTGACTGCGCAAAAAATCGCAATATAGGCCGGCGTCCGGACATCGGGCTGCGACCACATGATCCTTTGAATGCTTCCCTGTAAATTCAATTCAGCCGAAACAATTTATGACCACGCAAAGAATTTAAAATCGCCAAGCGTCCGCGAGATCGTCAAATCCGCCGATTCAGATCGGGCGGCGCCCGTTTTATTTGTGACATAGGCGTTATAAAGATTCATATACACAAATATTTACACAAACACCAAATCTGATTGGCGACGACAATATTTTTTGACCGGACGTTAGTGAAGCTTATAAGCTTCATGTTTCATTAACTTTTTCAGAAAAAAAAATATGCCTACATTTTAATTTGTATTTCATCATATTTCTTTTTAACAGGTTAACGTATATGTAATACATTAAATAGTTGCCACTTGTGTTCAATGAATTGATTTTTTTATACAAATTCTTTTTATTACATATCTGATGGATAATTTATAAAATAAATTCTAACACTATCGGAAATTTTTCTATATAAACAAAGCAGGCCCGAAGCGTGCATTATTCTACAACAATGCAATCGCCTTTCTTATTATTCCCGAGGAGATTTTGAAAGCAGTTAAAAATAAATTGCAAATCTAATAAAGCATACGGAATAGATTGTATGCTAAATGAGTGATGTAAACAATTATAGAGGTGTAACTTTATTGAGTTGTTTATCTATTCAGGTCAGTGTTGAATAATAGAATTGTAAATTTTTGCGATAAGAATCAGGGTATATATGATTTAAAAAGGGTAGTTCAACAATAGATGATATTTTTCCTGTTGAGCACTATCTTAACCATAATAAGCGTTTATATGTAGGTTTCATAGATTTAAAAACATGTTTTGATTCCATTTACAGGAATGCATTATGGTTTAAACTTTATAGATCATGTGTACAAGGGAAAGTACTTAGAATTATTAGAAACATGTATGACGTGGTAAAGTCCTGTGTTAAACATTGTAATTCTTTTTCTGACTTTTTTGAATATGCGATAGGTCTAAGACAAGGGGAGATAATGTCACCAGTTTTAGTTTCTTTGTTCTTATAGAATTGTTCTTACAAGACAATATTAATAGTGGACTACTCATAGAGGATATTGTTATTATTTATTGCTTTTTGCTGATGACATGGCAATTTTTGGAAAAACACCAGACGAATTACAACACAATCTTGATCTTTTGCATACATACTGTTGTCAATGGGGAAATGAAGTCAATGCACTAAAAACAAAAATCATGGTTTTTAGAAAAAGGGGCGGTTTAAAACGAGAAGAAAAATGGACTTATAATTGTATAGATGTAGAAGTTGTAGATAGTTTTAATTATGTAGGCACTTTGTTTTCTTTTATTGGTAACTTTGCGTTGTATAATGAATACTAATTAGGAAAAGAAAAGCACTTAGAGCGTCGAACGTTTTGTTGTATAATAGTAAAAAGATACCACTAAGACCAAAAGTGCTTTGTCAGTTATTTGATGCATTTGTTGGTTCCATTTTAAACTATGGCAGTGAAGTATGTGGCTTAAGTAAACCGAAGGAACTAGAAAAGTTGTACTTGAAGTTTTGCAAACGTATATTGAAAGTACCTTTAAATTCTAGTAACTTCGCAATTTATGGTGAACTTGAACGTTATCCTCTTTATATCTCAAGATATTGTACAATTATAAAATTTTGGTGTAAAATAGTGAATTCTAAAAACATTATCATAATGTCGTTGTATAAACTAGCCCTTCTAGATAGTTTAAACGGGTTTAACAATTGGGTAAGTCGTTTAAAAAAACTTCTAGATGACTATGGATTTTCATATATGTTGACAGATGGTTATGAAACTTACATTCCAATGTATTTTCCTACTGTCTTCAAAAGTAAAGTAATTGATTGTTTCAAACAGGAATGGTTCGGAGCTATCGATAGAAATAGTGTACTTGATGAGTACAAGATTTTTAAATCAACATTTGAGTATGAAAAATACCTGGATCTTCTACCACAAAACATTCGACTTTTTATTACGAGACTGAGAATTTCTGCTCATTCCCTGCGTATCCATACAGGTCGATTTGGTGTAAATAGGATACCCAGAAATGAACGATTATGTTTGTATTGTAATATTCATGATATCGAAGGTATATATCACTTTGTTTGTACTTGTCTTGTAAAGTGTTTGTAGACAATATACTAGGTCCAAGTATAAGTCTTTAATAAAAGTATGTTCTGTTATGTTATGTATTTTCACATTGAGGGCGCCATTTTGTTTGAAAAGTCTGATGAATAAAAACATTTTTTGTCGAATTTTGTTGTGAAAACTATCTAGAATGAAAGAAAATGGTGACAATAAGAAAATGAATCCGAACACCAATATCTTTAATTCAGTCGTTAACGCTGTACAGACGTTTAAAGTGATGATTACGTTACGTCACAATGTAGCGCCAAACAGCACGTGACACAAATCAAATCAAGGTCGCAAACGAGTTAAGTCTTACATTTATTTCACTTTTAATAATTTGTATTTCGCTTGGAAAATTATAGACTGAAATAAAATAAACAAACAAAGTTTTATCAACGTTTTCAAAATTCGTTTTTCTCAAAATGTTTCTATACACGGTAGATTTAACGGTAGTTTTTTTCAACCCACTGGAACGGCCTTTAAAGAACGTTTCTATTGGAAACTCTGAGGCGAAAACAAATTTAACACCAAACATAAAGTCCAACTTTATAATAATATTTATATTTTTTCTTGACGTGTTAGAATGGAAATAGATATTAATTCTTCGTGCATTAGTGTATAATAATGCACGTTTTTCGTTCAAATGCTTTGTAATTAATCACTCAGGCCTGTTGGCCTTCGTGATTATATTACTACGCATTTGAATTTAAACCGTGCATTATTCTACAACAATGCACTCAGAATTTATATCTATTCCCTAAACAATTTATATTATAGGACACCTCCTTTGTGAAGTTGATAGATACAATGTACATGTAATTATATTGTCATTTACATAAAGTTGAAGAAGACATCTAGAAATGAAAAGTGAAAAGTCTTCTGTGAATCGAAAATTCCTAACCAAGAATTTCAGACTTAGTTTGTCTGCACTGTACACACATCCCTTGAACACTGGTTCTCCCGTTCGCCAGGGGAACAATTGCAAATGACTCTTCAACGGTGCCCGTCTTTGCTTTACATTTTACGCAGTATATCATTTTCCTGCAAAATGAAAAAAAAACAGTGTTCGTACAATCCGTTAACCTTTTCTTTTACTCATGGCATTTCATAACCTCACAGGTAAGTGATATAGAACCATATGGGTCTTATATTACCTCACTTTATTTGTTATCTTTCTTTAGAGTTGAACACCGTTAATTTAAAATGAAAGAAAGTGATATGCTAAGGCAAAGCAAAAAGCAAGTGTTTATTTAAACTGAAAACGTCTCATTGTAACAAGAATATATTTCATTATACATGAATATTGATATTTAGCATTAATTTTAGAAACTTTTCATCTGACCTAATTAAGGCTACGATATTTTAAATTACACAATCAAAATATGTTTAAAATTGGATTTTTACAAAAAATTATTAGATTGATATATAATTATGACAAAATGTCTACTTTTTTAACAAAGCAGTCAATGGAAGACCACTAATTCTACAACACTAAAAAGCTCGAGACTTTAAATCACTGGGAAAACACATGTGTATTGCGTTCTTCGATAGCCATGGAGGGTCTGGTTCTGTGTAATGCTGTGTCACAACGTAGAGTATTGTTAAAAGCTATGCGTTTTATCACATAAATTACGCAGAATCTTCGGTAATCACTAGATATGGTTGTTGATAAATGTTTATAATATTGACACAAGTCAGTAGTTTGTAATTACATTTTGCCACTACATGTATAACATATTCATTTACATCATTAACGGGTAATTTACATATGATATCTCCTATATTTGTTATACAAGCTTGGTTGTCCTCAGCTCTCGTATATAAAGTTTCATGTACGAAGCTCGTAACCAGTGTGAAGGCTCATATGGGGTAAATGTTTTGTGTAATATTTCTCTTGAAATCGAGGTAATATTTGTACCCAACATTACGGCGATTCCTACCGAGCATTTTTGGAAATGCTTAAACTTGTTTTAGTATTTTAAAATGACAGAATTTGTAAAAAATGCAACAGTGTAAAATCGAAAATTCTTACCCAATAATTACTGACTTCGTTTTGAAGCATTGTAAACATGTCCCTTGAATACTTATTCTGTTGTTCACCAGGTGAACAATTTTCAAACTCATTTCATCAGTTTCTGTATGTACTTGACATGTAACGCAGTAGAACTTCATTTTCCTTCAACTGCGAAATAACAATGTTCTAAAAATAATATTTGTAATCTTTCTTTTTGTTGTCGCGATTCACAATTCCACTGTTATTTGTTCTCGGTTGCTCAAAATATTGAAGTAGTTACACAAGAAATAGTACCTATATTTCATGCTGAATCTTTATGAAATTTTGAATGAAAGACATAAAAAATAATTTATAACGTCATTATTTAACAGAAGAGAGATAAAATGATTGATAAATGTGAATTTCAAAATAATTTTAATGTTAACATACTAGTATGCACATTGAGTGATATTTTTTCCTGTTTTTTTGCCTGTTTACGGTTGCCTGCCCTAAGCCTATCAGAATGGAGAATTAATTAATACCACATGATTACATGATGAATCAAAGCACAGAAGGCGCTAATTTTGTTTGGGTAACAGAATATCAGAAAGATGAATGTTTTGAGATTATAAACCAATTTATTTTTGTATAGTGCCACTAATGTTTTCCAGTGTTTTAACTGTAGTATAAGTCAAACACGATACCGTTTACATTAATTGATCAAACCCTTATGATATAATGGGTTGTGCAAGTTATTCAGTTATAACATTTTGTACTTTTACTGCAATAAAGAGTTCAGATTATGACATGTATGAAGAGTTCATGTTAAGAAAATGATTTCTTTTTTCCGAGTTCAAATCTGGAATTGAGCCATTTTTTTTTATGTCAGTATATTTTTTTACTTTCAGAAAACATTTTCATATTCTCTGTTATAAACCTTTTGATTAATTTAATATTGTGTACAAGTTAAAGTTCAACTTATAACGATTTAGCAAAATTGAATGTATTTTATTTTAACAGTCATCAAACAGATTGAAAAGTATTGTCTATTTTGATACATTTTTATCAATTACGGCTCATTTGTATATATTTAAATTTCTTCCTTTCCACTTTTAGCACTATAACCATGACTGTGTTGCCTGTGTGTAAAATTAAATGTTCTCAAAATAGTATTGTGTGAAATAAATTCACGAGGAACTAAAATCCAGTTCTTTGAAAAATATCTAAAAAAAAAAAAAGGAAAAAAAATAAAAATTGCATATGGCTTGCTTTGATTGCTTAATGAACGTTATCGATATCAGCTAAATTGGAATGTCAATATTGAATTTGAAACATTTTCGTACTTTACTGTTGAATGAGATGGGCGGTGACATGCAATAACCACTGTTGTTCATATAGGCTCAATCAATTTGAACATCACCATTTCCACTTTAGCCATGTTGGAAACACTCATTTCCAACTAACAGGATTTGACCATTTCTAACCGTACTTTGTCGGTCCTGAGCCAGTTAAAACGGATAATTTAATACTACATGATAACAAAATGGACTTCAAAAGACCTAAAAAAGCGGCGCCAATGGGCACTCCGCCCGCTATGTCGGGTAGCTTATACGTGTTAATTGAAATACTTTATTCGTGATCCAAATTGTATGCTCCTATTGAATAAACACTTTACGGAATATTTCTCTTAAAAGAAGAATACTAGTATTAGCTCTATTGTTCAGGAAGGAGTCTTTTCATAAAAAAATATTTTCAAATACCCAGCATAACGGCGATTCCTATCATTTTTGGAAATGTTTATACATGTACTTGTTTCAGTATTTTGAAATGACAGAATTTGTAAAAAATTTAGAGAGAGATTTAAAACGATTTTTTCTTTAGACAAAACAAAATGTATGAAAGTTGTTACCTTTTTGTAAAGCGAAAAAAAACCTTCGTGTATTGCGGTAAACTTGTTTTGTTGTGACAACTCTGTATGCTAACTAAATCACCACAATTTCCACAATAAAAATATCACTCGCGTTGTCAATAGTAAATACGCTATGACCAACCACTTTACTGTAGAATCTGGTAAATAAGCGCATATTTCTATGTAAGGGCATAAAAAGCTGTTCAGTATGGAACGCCAAAACTGTCGTTAAGAGAGACCGATATGCTTGGTACGTTTGCAGTTGGTTAAGTAAAGTTGGGAAATCGTCATCCTGTTGAAATTTATAGCCATTTAGCTGAATCAGATTGATCATACGTTGGGTCAAGTTTATCATTAGGTGGAGTCAAGTTCATGTTAGTTGAGTTAGATAAAAAATAATGTCGATTCAACTTGGCATTAGGTTGTGTCAAGATTGTTTTAGGAAATGTCCATTTTTTATATGCAAGGTCAAGTTGATACGAAGTTTAGTCAAGCTGGCATTAGAATGTGTAAGATTTAATTTACATCATGTTTACATGACCTGATGTTCAACATTATTATGTTTTGGTCAAGTGTTGATCGAACTGGGTCAGTCGGAACAAAGTTATATCAAACGTTACCATATAGTGGGTTTTACTTTATGCCAAGTCCTTGTAGTTAATGTTGTTATCATTTTAAAACAAATATTGTCTTTAAATGCATTTTTCTGTTCACGAAGTTTATAGAACAAATTGGTAAGCTCTCAATTTATTGCCTTCAGTTTAATTATGTCAAGCACAAGGCTGTTAACCACTATGCAGTGAAGTTAATTATAATGTCTAAAGGCTTTGTTTATAAATACAATATCAAAATACACCGACTTGACAAAGAAAATACCACTCTATGTATCACATTTTGCTTAAATATGATGCCAACTTGATTAAATGCTCTGTCGAAGACTCGACAAAATGCCAACTATGAACTTGGCACGACATAAATGATTTTACCCTTGAAATCGCGAATTTGAGCTTGTCATTTAACTCAACGTAACGCAAAAATAGACTCCACAATATTTATGTCAGTTGGTTCCAAAGTAATGTATATCGACTAAGTGCAAAATAAACGAAACAAAATGCTTCACAAAACCTCACAAAGTACAATGTAAAATATTTAACTCATTAAATAAACTAAGTATTGAACCTACATTCTTTTATTTACTCTGTTTATGACATACCCTTTATTAAAAGTATTTTACAACCATTTCTTTTATTCATTTATAGTGTAGCGCTTACACAAGAGTCAAAATATATTCACGGTTTTCACTACGTCGTAAAAGCGGCACGGGTATGTGAAAAAGCACCCATCTGACTAAACACTGTCGTTCTATTTAAGTACATATTTGAAATAAAATAGATTATATAAACGCATATCAATTGGCGCGATGTCAAAAGAAGGCGCATAATTAGACCTACTAAAAGTAATGTAAACTTAATTACCAGATTCTACAGCAATTTCAGGAAAACGCAAACAATTTTCAGAAAAAAAAAACTAAAATAGATATTTTCAAAAAATCTAAAAAAATACTATCATATTACGTCTCATATGGACGCATGAATTCAAAGAAGGATATAAAATGAAATGAATAGCAATTATAAATGGTATGAATGGATAATTGTTTGTTTGGCACATGCATACAAGATACATTCACGCCATATATTATTACAAAGCAGAACAAGTGATGTAAAACATTTGGGTATCAGATGCTCGAAAACTACTTAATAATTGTAAAAAAAGTACAAAATATACTTAAATTTCAATATTTTAGCCTTATTATTCATATTGCCTGATTTTTTTTTTGATTTTTTCCCCAATTTAATGGCGTTTCTGAAATATTCTTTTACCAGTAAAGCTTGAAAGTCGTCATATGACCTATACTGTGTTAGCGCGAGGAAAAACCTAACCAAAACAAAACGTATCGTAAAAGTATCTTAAAAAAACATATTTACAAATGTATAAGGGGAAAAAACCTCTAGATTATGTTGATAAGAATAAAATCCAAATGCTTTTTAAAGTATAATATTCTCTGATATCGAATCAACAATATTTGCTATAAGTTTCACAATATCACCTGAAGACATTGGACCCGGCTCATTTCTTCGCTCATCCGTTTTTCAGAATAAGCATTTTAATTGTGCAAAATGAAAAGCGTTTAAAGGAATCAAATAATTTTAAAATGTCAAATATTAACACACATGATATTCTTCAAAATCATGCCGATGGCGATGTCAACATTGTTTCCCTTCAATATCTCGGATACACAAGTAACACCTGAGGCACAAATCCAGAAGTTTTGGCTTCTGTTCCACATTTTAAAATACAAGTGCCTAGATATGTTTTCGCAAAAATCGGATTTATGAACATGCATTTAATTCTAGTCGCTCTTTGAATAAAAATCTACACATAAAATGGAGGTTTCTGGTGCATTTTCACTAGACACAACCTCAAGTTTGTGCATTATTTCAAGCACGAACAAGCACCTGAGGAGTAGAACCACTGTCGCTCCGTTGGCTAGCTGGATAGCTTCCGCCATGAATTAATCAAAAGTCCCAGGCGGGATTCGAATACACAGAGGTGAGGGGCAAGTGGATTGAAGTGAACCACCTAAACCACTCGGCCACGGACGCAATACTTTAACACATACACATGCTGGTCTTTCTTTGATTTGTAAATGATGACAGTTGATGACTTCTGATGCATATTCGGATGCACATTTTATAATACACATATTTACATTTCCCAGAAAATTTCAGACATGCAACAATGTAAAATACTACAGGAACCTTTTCTTGGAACTTTCACTTCACAATTCATAAGAGTATGATGTTGTAAAACCAGGACTTTTTCACAGCCAAGGGAAGTACAATTCCCTTTAATTTTGGGAATTTTACGAGAAACATGATACCTTTGCAAAAGTGGAAGAAAAAACTTGATGTTTACTGAATTTTATGGGAAAACTATTTCTTATTTACCAATATACACGTATCTACAAATGGGCTCTTTTCTTAGTCTCAAGCAGGCGCTTAAATATACCTCTAAACTTTCCAAAAATAATATAGATCTACTGAAAGCGCCTTCATGGCCCTGAATAATATTTATATTTGTCGCAAATGGCCTAAAAGACTGTAGAATTTAGACTGATTGAGTTTAGCAGAGGCACAATAATCTAATGAATATTCATGTACATTGTATACAGACAGCTGTTTTGATTCAAAATGAGAATTAGTGAGCTGGTTTTAAAAATGCCGTGTTCTATTTGTGTTGACATAAAAATAAGTACGACGATACTGTAGTTTTATTCAGATTTTCTGCAAGAATTAATGTAAATTAATAATTGACATGTATAAATTTAAACAATATTGAACACAAGTTTTTGTAGACCAGAATTATTGAAAATTTTCATTAGTGAAATAATATTTGATTTATTTGTAAGCTAGTCACGTGAGGCATCTTCTCGGCGAATTTGATGAACAATAAAAATATTATAAGTTGATAAAATGGTTCGTAAAAATAAAAATAATAAATGTTTCCTTGGCAGACCGGAAATGGCTAGCCAACAATCTGATGCTTCTGTGTGCCACAATGTGCACATATCCCTCTGACGCTAGTTCTACCGTTCGCCATTTTGACAAGATGTTCATACAAAGTCTCTGTCTTGATTCTACATCTCAAACAGTATATCTTCATTCTCCCTGTAAGTGTAAAACGAATCGTAGTTGATAAACAAAATCAACAAGTTTTTTGGCCGTCTTTCCTCGACCGCGACATATACAATTGACAATATTTAAATTTTTTACCCGTACACGGCCTGCCCTAAGCCAATCATAACGCAGAATTCAATACCACATGATAACAAACAAAATGGACGACAAAGCCCCTACAGGGTAAATCTTGAGCATTCTTGCATTCAAATCGTACCATAATAAATACATAAACTATGCAAATCATACAATAATATAGACGGAAGCCATGCAAATCATACATGAAAGACAAGCTTTACATGTCAGTTATAAGAGCAGTCAAAGCTCGCCTAATACTTTACTTATATGTCTAATAAGGTGCTTGCATTTGAAAATGTGCACATAATTTTTATAACTTAATGTAACTAATAATATGCATTACCTGTTAGTTTTCCAAAAACAATGCTTTTATTTCTCCTGTCTTTAACGTATGTTTGCACCTATTGTCTTTATTAGACAACGCAACTATGTATAGCAACTTTATTTCAGATAAAACCTTGCGTGATATAACCTATTGATTAGCGCTAAGAAAAAAATATTATCAAAGTGCATCCAAGTCACGTGACAATGATAACAATTTCATAACATCCTTATTTTCAGAAAACGAACAAACCGACGAGAGTAGCTCATTTATAAATACCCATTGGTTTTGATAATTTATGCACGGACGAGATTACACACTTTAGCTTAATCTTGCAACTTTGACGAACAGTAGTTGTTTAATGGACATGAAACAAAAAAAAATGATATAGGGGTGATGTGGTACATTTTAGATTAGTGATGCGGATAGTTATGAAAACAAAGCACGTTAATATACTCATGCTGTTTAACTTGTTTTATTCATTCCTAAAGGTAATAGATGCATTTTGTGTGTTCACTATAAACCTTGATTTAATTTAAATGCTAGTTGAAATTTAACGAAATACGAGGGCTGTAAGAAAAGTATCCGGAAAGGTTTCATCACTTTTTATATTTACAAACATATCTAGAAAAATATTCAACACTGTTTCTTTGGAGACTTATGCTTATGATCCGGTTGAAAAAATCATCATTTGAGCCGTGTCATGACAAAACCAACATAATGGGTTTGCGACCAGCATGGATCCAGACCAGCCTGCGCATCCGCGCAGTCTGATCAGGACCCATGCTGTTCGCTTACCAACTCTTTTACAAGTAAAGAAACTGATAGCGAACAGCATGGATCCTGATCAGACTGCGCGGATGCGCAGGCTGGTCTGGATCCATGCTGGTCGCAAACGCATTATGTTGGTTTTGTCGTGACACGGCTCATTTGTATTAATACACATTCTACAATATCTATGGTAAGGTAGGGTAACGTTGAGCGGGGTAACTTACTTCTGGATGGGATATTGCGTCAGTAAAATCGGTCCCACGCATCTAAAAAAAATCACACTTTTTCGAAATATTCGCCACTACACGATACACACTTCTCCAATCTATGTCATGAGGTCGATATTCGTGTTTTTGAATATCGTTTTTATGTATCATTTTGTCCTTGTATTTGTATATATATCTCTTGTATTTGTCTGTTTACAGTCCGATATACAATCCATTATCCCATATCATTCCTATATCATTCCATTTCATCATCTCATTATAACAACTAATTTCTCATATTTCATTTTGACATAATTTGCATGCCGGGCCTCCGTTTTTACAAACTTCCCGGAAAAACCATCTCACGCATGCGCACTTTGATATAAATATTTCTATTGGTTTGCGCCAGAAATTGTTGTCTTGTTTATTTATTTATTTATCAAGGCGTATGTTTATGTCCTTACAGGTAATTGTTGTTATTCATTATGTTTCATTATCATGCATATTTACATTGATCGTTTATGTATTTCGGAACTGTATTTAGGCACTTTGAGATAAATATTTCCTTGGTTTGCGCCAGAAATTGTTGTCTTATTTATTTATTTATTTATCAAGGCGTATGTTTATGTCCTTACAGGCATAAACAGACCATTCATACATCTGAAAAAGGACCATACGACAAATCGATTTGCTAAAGCAGGACTTAAACTGATCTTTGGGACTTTTAAGAATCGTTTATCGAACAACAATTGGCAAATCATAAACGTCATCAAACCTCTTGCCACGCAGCTCTGATTTCAATGTCGAAAATAGCCAGAAATCGTATGGTGTTAGATTTGAGGAATATGCAGAATGTTTCATGGTCTCTATCAGCGTTGTCTTGGTGACAACAGAGGAGTGGGGAGGTGCATTGTCATGATGGAATACGACATTGCCCTCGTTTTTGTTACAATTGCTTTCCGAAGTTTGACGCACTATTACCATCATTCGCGAATAATCTACATTCTTTCCTCCGTGATTAGCAGCGTAAATATTATATGTTATTTTGGTTTTTGAGTGATACCGTCAGGCAAGGGTGATATTTTATCTTGGCAGGTAGTATATCCACATATATCACTCCAAAACCAAAATAATAATTTTATTACCCTTCCCCAGCCGAGTTAAGACGATTTTAAAATAAATAATTGCTGCTTCAAATATAACGTCGAAATAAGATTCCCTTTAAGGTACCCCTTCACCCCAACATGACGTCACATAAATACATGACGTAGTTTCTTTCGAACCTAACAAATGTAAACAAGAGAAAAGGAGTAGTCTGTTGAACGCACTTTTTTGAAATTAATATCAAGCTTTCACAAGGTCATATTTGTTTTCAATACTGATAAGAATATGTATCATTACTCTATTTTAGTAAATATTTATCATTTGACAGTTAAAAAGTGCTTGTAAATTGGAATTTACATCGCATAAAATCAAACCGTACGCGCATCGCCACAGCGCATGTTGTTTACAACGTGGGGTACCCAACGGGGAAATTTAGTGTGTATATTACCCGTCTGGCTCGGTAATATCAATTTCTTTCGGGTGATCAATATCCAATCAAAAACGCGGACAATCTGGAAGGGTAATAAACAGCTTTACGCTTATCTTTTCGCGATTATTAGACGTCCGAAGCATTCCGAAAAATTAGGTAGACAATTCGACGGTATCACTATTACTGGGAAAGGGATGTAGGTCTGAAGAAAATGTAAAGGTCACAGTCAGCAATATCTACAGGAATTATGATGCATTACAGATCTTATTGAAATTTAAAATTGACCAAAAAAAAAAAAGATAAATGAACTTTTATACATATTGAACACAACAATATGAAATGAAAATTGCAGACTCGGTGCAACATCTCTCACGCCCTCTAGCACCGGCGATAGCGGCATTCAATCTTCAACACTGATGTGCTGGAGACAATGATCCCACAATACCAGACTTACAAATATAACAAGACTTATACTATTTGAAATGTAGTAGATTCTATGTAGACATAAAATCATTCTTATTATGCTCACAGCAACAAGTGTCAGGTGCTGTGTGACACTGTAAAATAGTCTCATTGCTTCATCTCTGAGATGATTTAGAGGATATTTGTTTAGTTCAGCGTAAGATCGGAATATATTTCACCGGGTGAGCACCAAAATGTTTATTTCACTTAGTGGCACAGCCACGAGTGAAATATAAACTTTTGGTGTTCACGAGGCTGCGCCACTCGTGAAATATACATTTTGGTGCTCACTCGGTGAAATATATTCCGATCTTACACTGAACTAATCAAATATTCTCTATATAATATGTAGGTCCTCTACCAAAGTTGTTCAAATTTTGTTCCTAGTGTCAAAATTGGCCCGCCCGGGGGTAATAGGTTTTTCTGATATGTATATAGTAAAAACTTTTTAAAAAATCTGCTTTTCGGAATTGACAAAGGCTAGATATTAGATATTCGGCATGAAACATTGTGTAGTGGACCTTTACCAAGATTGTTCAAATTATTGCCCCGTGGTCAAAATGGCCCCGCCCCGGGGGTCATTGATTTTCATTACATATGAAATATAGCAAAAACAGAACCTAAAAGAAATGTTTTTTGAATACGAGAACGTTAGAGCTTAGATATTTGACATAAAACATTGTCTGGTGGACTTGTATCAATATTGTTTAAATCAAATCCTTAGGGGTTAAAATTTTGTCATGCCCAAGCGGACACAGTGACTTACTTTCTTGTCTTTTATAAAAGAATTGATTTGAACCATATGCACAGTTTGAGTTTTTAAATTGAATCTTAATACCAGCTGACCTAGATTTTGACAATTGACCTAATTCTTGTCCTTTGATGTACAGCTATTAAATTTTGACCATGTGCACAATTTTGATGTAAAATTGAATTTTGATATCAACTGACCTAGATTTTGATGATATAACCTACTTTCTTGTCCTTTGATGTACAGCCATGCAACTTGGACCATGTGAACAGTTTGTGATGTAAAATTGAATTTTAATATCAGATGATCTATATTCAGACAAGTGACCTACTTTCTTGTCTTTTGATGTACAGCTATGAAATTAGGACCATGTGCACAGATTATGTAAATTAAACTTTGATATCATCTGACCTAGATTTTGATGATGTGAACTACTTTTATTTTACGTTATTTTATCTACAGCCATGAAATTTAGACCATTTGCACAGTTTAAGATGTAAAATTGAACTTTGGTATCAGCTTACCTAGATTATGATGATTTGACATCGTTTGGCTTTTATATACATATTTTGAGCATGTGCACAATTTCAGGTGTAGAACTGAAATTTGATATCCAATTATCTAAATATTGACCTAGTGACTTACTTTCTTGTTTTTGATGTACATCTATGCAATCAGGACCATTTATATACTTAGAATAATTAAAAAATACATTTTGCACAAAATATGGTCTATTGACCAACAACGTTCAAATTCTTGATATAAACACTAACATTCACTGCTTTCACACAAATAACAGTCTGTCCTCAGGTGAGCGCTTTTGGGCCAATGGCCCCCTTGTTTTTTCCAAATTACTTCAAACGCATAAACTCCACATGTCGACCGATGTTACTGAAAAAAAAGTGTCCATATCTAATTATTTACAAAGTTGTACGTTGCCTAAAAGTAAACACGTGGAAACATGAAAATCAAATATACAAAAATAGGTTATTATAGTGGTGAAACTTATTCAAACGACAGTAATGTACATATTTATATTGTATTTCGATCAGTCATATGAACTGAACGGAACAGACCAGAAAGGCAATCAAAGCAATAAATTTCACAGTATGCCCCGACTGTTTACACTATCTTAACTTAGTGATGTGCATGTAGGAAAGAGTAGCTTCAAATTAAATGACACATTCGATGGTTAAGACATTTGATGATTTTACTTTGTTTTTGGGCAAATTAGCATCTGTTTTCCTGTCGTATGCAGGCTTGACATCCATTTTGTGTGTTGTTTTGGTCAGAAGTATGAAAGATATTTTGACGTTGCGCAAAAAGTTGTGGTAAACGCCATAGCTCTCCAAACATCACACCTTTCCAGAAATGTGCTCTCTGGCCATTGCAGATAGAGTATTCTCATAATCCCTCTAGGTGTAGCTTGTCTCGAAAATAAGATACATGACTGTGATGTGTAGCAGCTAACTTGAGGGCTAAAGTCAAAGTGTTGACTAACACTCTCGAATATTTCTTTATATATACTTAAGTTAGCATGCATAATATGTATTTCAACTCTACCATGAAGTTTACGAGGATGCCATATTAGCGCTGAAACACCCATGACATAGTCTTATCTACAAGATTTTAGCTTTGAGTCCTTTTCTTTAAACTGGTTGATGTCTTCAAGACCTACACGTATTTAATTTAGGATAATGGAGAAGTGTTATAAAGAGCAATAATAATAATAATAATAATAATAATAATAATAATAATAATAATAATAATAATAATAATAACAATAATAATAATAATAATAATAACAATAATAATAATAATAATAATAATAATTATAATAATAATAATTAAGTGAATACATAAATGATCAAAACTAATTACATTTGATTTTGCTGAATAACGGTGGTTTTGGTAATCCTGGAATACTGAATTATTTGATGTAATGGACTTACCGCAAAAAATAATATAACAGTTAAAGAAAATACCTCTTAAGATCAATATTCTCCCGCGTTCCGCGTCAGCATGACAGAAAAAAAGTCCGTACATATCCTACAAAACACATGCTAAATTATATTGCTGTAGTGCTGCGATTTGAGGAGGCAATGGTTGGAATATAGTGGTGCTTATGAAATAGCTAATTTAATAATAGTAATGCGAGTTTCACGTAACGAACCGCTTTAAATATAATGACTCTTATACTTCACCATACAGTAGGCTCTTTATAACTGTTACAGATCAATAAAGAAATCAATAAGTACACATAGCTCTGTAACCAGTGCATTTATAAGCCGGTATTTACCTATAGATAATTCAATATATTGCCTACCGTGCTGTGTTGATATTATTTATTTCAACTTTCGATTGAAAGAATTTTATGTAGTCGTTTATATACCTGCTTTAATGTATATTTAAAGTTGTTGGTTATTTTGAAAATTTGTTTTACTTGGAATAAATGACACTTTATTTTACTTTCGGTTTGATTTCTTCAGGTAAGTTAGAAAACATATTAATTTCTTTTCATAATTAGAATTGAGCTGAATACACTATTATACAGTAACCTTCAAAAAATTGTAATAAACTAACGTCTTATTCTTTATAAATTTATACCAGATTTTATGTATCTCATAAATTCAAAAATATCTAATTTCAACATAAAACTTCCGCATTTCAAGCTTAAACACGTAAATTGATTAAAGGTACTCCTTTATATGTTGTTTATCTTAACAATTTATGTTTTTAAGGACTGGTACATTTTGTATACTTTAATTTTATTTGTTTTAACTTTTGTCATACGAATATTAAGTTGTTTCTAATAATGGCTAATAATAATATTATCTTATAACTACATCAGAAAATCGTTTAGTTGAAATTTAAATACCATCGAAATAGATAAAATTTTATGCCAAAGTCAAGAAGTAAAGTGACCTCCCGTAGAATAATGTTTGTTTGTTTGCCTTTTCCCAACAATATTTCAGTCATATAGGCGGGTAGTTTCCTAACCATCGTTCCTGGAGAGTTACGCCAGTACTAGACTACCCTCCTCCGGGCTAAACTACCAAAGCATCTCCCGGGGATCGAACCCACGCCAAAGAGGTAACTGGATTAGAAGTCATCGACTCTAACCCCTCGACCACGGAGGCGGTTCCGTAGAATAATGACCCCCGGTTTTCATTGTTTAGATTCTGACTGACCGCTCCCCAAACCACATCCCCCCTCCCACCCCCGCTCTTACCCCAACTCCATTTGCCTGATTTGACTAATCACTACCGAAAGCAGCTGTTGTTGTAACACGGTAATAAAATGTCCTTCACTTTTATGTGACCTTGTGACATGATTCCTCGTTTATTTTTTTTTTATCCAGAAGAGTGTAATATGTGTTGGTGTAGAGGGATATCGAATTTGTAACCCAGACATTGCTTCCACTGCATCATAGCACCCGATCTGTTCCTGATGAGTTTCCTATATTGTAATATCACATTAATGGATGGTTAACAAATGGGTTATGAAATTGAAATTTAACACTTCACAGGAGAGGAACTGTTACACGAAGGATGGAGTTCTTATGATAACTTGTTTGGAGTTCTCGTGATAACTGTCACGGAGTTCCTGGAAAACGTTACGGATTTCTGTGGAAATCTTTTCTATATACCTGGAGAACTCACGTGAAAAATGGTAATTTTTACCTTTAAATGGGGAGATTTGCTAAAACATCATAAGGTCAAACAAAATTTCTCCCGGATGGCAAAATAATAACAGAGAGGTCATGTAGTAGCAATTTACACATTGAACGTTTAAACAACTAGTCGTTTCATCTGAAATAGAACATTTTGTATTTGCAGTAAGAATATCACTTTATTACACAAATAATATTAAACATTAACACACAATCCGTGAACATAGCTCATTTCATATGAACATAACTCATTTGAAAATGAACACGTTGCACTATTAACATCCTAATAATACAGTGTTCATGAACACGTTACACCATATACACCGTAATATGCTCGAATGTCATACTCCTAAACTTTACAGTGAAATTTTTATCAGAACACAAACATTAAATTTAATTTCAGAATAATTTCAAGATGGATAGATCAACATCCATTGAACATCATGTCACGTGTTCGATATGCATGGACCTTTACAATGACCCTTTAGCTCTACCGTGCCTACACAGTTTTTGCAGACGATGTATAATGGGTCTGTTTTCTTCCGCGCTAGTTTTCAAATGTCCAGAGTGTCGAAAAGATGTTATGCTCGGACCAAATGGTATAGATGAACTCCCAAAGAACTTCCAACTTGGAGGAATTGTGGAAAGTTACAAACGAGAAAACGATAAAGGTCATGAAGGTCAAGGTCGCACAAGAAACGATCAGCCATTTTGTGCGCAACATAGAATGACGTGTCAGTTAATGTGCACATCGTGTAGAGCTCAAATATGTATACGATGTATGACGGGAAAACATTCTGGACACAAAGTGACTTTAATGTCTGTCCTAAAGGAAGGCGAAGATTCTGCCACAGATGGAATAAAATGTTTTGAACACGGTAGACAGTACAAATTATATTGTAGTGATTGCAGTGAACTTGCTTGTCTGGAATGTATTGCTAAGCAACACAATGCACATAGGTTTAGTACAATTGAAGATTCTTACGGATATAACATGGTAATGTTCCTTTACATGATTAGAAATGACTAAACAGTTTCATTTAGATTGACATGTTTTTTTTTTTAAATAATGTTTCTGCATTGACCTTTTTAACTGTTAAAATGTGTGATTTTTTTTATTAGGGATATCATTACCAACACATATTTGGGATATTATATGTCGCAAAGTCTGTTATCTAACTTTCTTCTCGGTTTTTATCGTTATTTATCATTAATTATTACCAGACAATTTTCGATAGTGTTCTTTTAATGGGTTAGATTTATAATAAGTTCACGTAAATTCGCCATATTTAGTCACTTTCCGTTTTTTTAAAATTTAAATCGGATGATCGGCGGCAGAACCCGAGCCACATAAAATGTGTCGATGTAAAATAAACTGTCAACACGCTGCTTTTTAAATCAAAGCACAGAAGGCGCTGAATTTGTTTGGGTCTCAGGATGTAAGAAAGGTACAGGTTATGAGATTATATGTATAGTGCCACCAACGCTTTCCAGCGTTTTAATTGTAGTAAATTGGCTATAAGACTAATTGCAACACTGATATTCAATCCAATGATTATTTGACTTAAACAATTTGAAAAAAAAAATGAGTTGCCTTTACTGGGATTTGAAATCCAGACCTCTCGCTTCCTAAGCGAGCGCGAAAACCCCTCAGCCACAATGAATTTATATGAGAACGGCCTGAAGAAAACCATATTATTCCAAAATAGGGCTTGTAACGACTTTTACTGTTGTTTAACACAGATGTTAATAATCCTGGAGCTTACTATAAGCATGTATATTTATAAAGAATCAAAAGGCTGCAAGTTCTGTGGTATTTTCAGATCTTTGCAATCTAAATCGTACTGTATATCTGTATGTATTTTCCTGTAAAAGTTTATTTTTATGTACTATAATTCATATTGCAAGGCACCAGTTTGATAGATACGGAATTTTGCATAACTAGAGTTGCATCAAAAATCATTTATGTTCATTTTTTACGACATAGACAGGACTGATTTTGAGAATTTGGCTCCCTATAAGATGCTAGAGGCATTTTGAAGTACAAGTGGTATCTTGGTGTATTTTACCTATTTAAGGTATGCTGAATCCGATAAAGGTGGATACCAAATTGAAAAACTTGATCTTGACCATTGAAATGGCCATTTAAAATGACCACTAAAATGGCCGCCAAATTTCTTTATTATAAATGGATGATATATCAAAGAAAGGAAAAGCCTGAAATTTGTCACAAAGCATGTTTAGGTAAAAACAAATTAGACACCAAAACAGAATTAAAAGCACAAAACAATCCAATATGGCCGAAAAATCCAAGATGGCAGACATTTTTCTATAGGCTAATATAATAGTAATATAGAAGTAATATTAAAGATAGTACTGAAAATTTTAAGGCATTTAAACATATTTAGGGTTTACGCAGCGAACACTACACTCTTTCCTGCCCTATATGCTAGATTTTATCTGGCACTCTATGCAAGCATATAGAGTGGCTACTCGGATGCCTTCAGCGTTTAGATGTGTGAGGGGGTTAAAACGTGTGCATGCAAAATATACATTAATTAAAGGCATTTTTCTCTGAGTACTCTTGGGTTTTGGTGTTCGTTTTTCTGTTATCGGTCGTCGTCTTCGTTCTTCTCAGTTCTTTTGTTGTTAGATGTTCTGTTATCGGTTCTCGTCTCTGTTTTTCTGCTATCGGTCGTCGTCTTCGTTCTTCTGTTATCGGTTCTCGTCTCTATTCTTCTGGTCTTCGTTTTCTTGTTGTCAATTTTGCTGTCATAGGTTCCCGTCTCTGTTATCGATCCCCGTCTTCATTCTTCTTCTTCAGTCCTGGTCTGTGTTATTTTGTTATCGGTACTAGTTTCTATTTTTTGTTATCAATCCTCGTCTCCGTTGTCTTTTTGTCAGTTCTTCTGTTATCGGTCCCTGTCGTGTTGGTTCTCGTCTTCGTTCTTTTGTCATCGGTTCTTGTCTCTTCTTTAATCAGTCCTGGTCTCCGTTTTCTTCTTGTCAATTCTTATGTAATCGGTTCCCGTCTCTGTTATCGATCACCGTCTCCATTCTTCTGTCATCAGTCATCGTCTATGTTCTTCTGTTATCGGTCCCTATTTCTGTTATCGGTCGACGGCTCTGTTTGCTTGTTGTCAGTTCTTCTGTTATCGGTACCTGTCCTGTTCTTCTGTTATCGGTCCTCGTCTTTGTTCGCTTGTTGTCAGTTCTTCTGTTATCGGTGGTCCCTGTCCTGTTCTTCTGTTAGCGGTTCTCGTCTCTGTTCGCTTGTTGTCAGTTCTTCTGTTATCGGTCCCTGTCTCTGTTCGCTTGTTGCCAGTTCTTCTGTTATCGGTCCCTGTCTCTGTTCTTATGTTATCGGTCCTCGTCTTTGTTCGCTTGTTGTCAGTTCTTGTCTCCTTTTTTCCTTCTGTTATCGGTCGTCGTCTTCGGTCTTGTACTTTCGGTACTTGTTTCCTGTTCCGTTAAGGTCTTCTCTTGTTTCTATCGTTGCCGTCATTCTGTGTCTATGTCCTGGTTATGTCAATCTCGTAGTCATTTATTCGTTCAGTGGAGTAGCGGGGGATCGAACTCACGACCCCTTGATTTGTAGGCAGACAGTGTTACCACTGCACCATAGCGCCCGCTCTGAATAATAACCATTTTTGAAAATCCTTTATACATTAAATACTATTTCAATGGCTAACAAAGGGTGTATTACAATTATATTTTAACACCTCTACTATGTAGCCTACCCACGTGACTTTTATATGGTCAAAGAAAATATTACTCGATTTACAACAAATAATATTTTTATAGATAACTTTGCTGTTACTTTAAGATATCCTATTTTATTTTTTGGGGGTAGGGGGGGGGGGGGTAGGAGGGGGTGCAGTATATATTTCAAAACACGTTTTGTCTCGGTTTGTGTTGTGTTTATGGCATTGAAATGACATTTTTTGACATGTAAAAATAATTTTAAAATATTCATTTTAAAACATAAATACCATAATAAGTGCAAAATATATGAAAACACAATGAACAACTTAAAAAAATATCATAGCTACAAATAATGTTGAAAATTACGGAACACCTGAAGTGATATTTTCCACATCTTCTCCCGGAATTGAATTCGTTTTTACGAGATAATAATTCCCAATTAGAAATATTATTTCGTTTTAACGAAATATAAAATCTTAATTATGATATATTGATTCGTTATTACGAAATATTAGTTCGTAAATACGAAATATTAATTCGTTATTACGAAATATTATTTCGTAATTATGGAATATTAATTTGTTATTACGAAATATTTATTCTTTGGTAATATTTATAAACTAAGCTTATTGTTAAATATAAGTCAAGTAAAAAAACATAAAAAGTGATTTTTTCAATCTTATTATTATACCTTAACGCGCTAGTAAAACAGTACTGTATATACTGTTAATTGAGCCATTAGGCTTATAATCGCTATATTTGGTGGCCAATCTCATTAAAATCTGATCATATTAAATAATCATTTGATTTTGACAAGAATAATTAATTGCATCATATTGTATCATAGTTTTAATGACCTATTTTAGTATTTTTAAGCGGCCATTTTGAATTGACCTTTTGAAGGACAAGGTCAATTTTATTTTCTTGGTATCCACCCTCATCGTCTTTAGCATACCCATATTAGGTTAAAACACTCAAGATATAACTTGTACTATAAAATGCCTCTAGCATTCATATTTTCTTAAAATCAGTCCTGTCTAACAGCCACACTTTATCCTTGCATATCATGGCTACTTCCTTAACAAAGACACTTAAAAAAAAATTAAACAAAAAAAGTTTCCTTGACTGGGATTTGAACTCCAGACCTCTCACTCACTAAGCGAGCGCGTTACCCCTGCACCACGGAGAAGTTATTCAAACAATGTCTGAATAACATCAAGTCATTCTAAATTTAGAACTTCCATTGCATTTCGGGTTTGTAATCCTTATTAATTTCGAGGTATTTTGTTCAGGAAAATCTGTTGTTTAAAATTGAAGTAAATAATGTAGCGAAAATCTTCTCGCCCAAACAGTCCGACATGTAGAATCTATATATTCCACTACTCGGTTTGTGTAGTATTCGGTAATCGGCATCGCTAAAAATAGTATTTTCATTGATAAAATCATATTCATCCGCGTAATTTGTGATTGTGCATTTATTGACAATTCTATAAGCCAACGCTATTTTTAAACTTTGAATGCGTTGTAATTTGTTGGATACTTGTAACAAAATACAAATATTTCTTTCTTTTAAATCGCTAGTTTTAAGCTGTTTTGAGAACTACTTGTTGTTAGGTTTGTCGTGAAACTTCTGTGTCAGAGATTGATGTCCGCTTTGTATTTACTTATTTTCGATCAGAAAATACAATAAAACAATATTAGAAATCTTCGACCATTCGGGAATTATTTTGCTTGAAAATTAATGCGCCTGTCTTTGACCATCTTTACGCAGTGATCTCCCCTGAATTTTTCGGCGTTAGTGTACATATAAAGGGAAGTAACCGATTCAAAAAAGTGGACTACTTTCGGCATTTGCAATTAACAGCATTAGACTCTGAAATTTCGCTACCATTATTTGTTTGGTCTGACGACCCAAACAATTAAAAAGTGTATAAGATCAGCGGAAATTATATGTCAAACTATATGTCTGATGAAATAACTTTTAATCTTATAGTTTTTAAATATAACATTAAGGAACACTATCGCTCAAAAACAAATAAATTGTTTCTTACTTTTACAAAGAATACACGCGAGTTTTATAACGTTTAAATGATGGTCTTTGAGTAGAGCATGCGTGTTGCTTATTACGAAAATATAACGGAATTAGATTTGTTTTGTCATAAAAGTAGCAAAATGTAAACAAAGTAGAATTTGGACTTCCACTACATGTATATCTCTACTTACTGCCAAATAGCAACAGAAGCGAAAGATTATTTAAGGAAGGTGACGTATGAGAAACGTTTTTGAAACTATAACAGGATACCAAAATAAAAATAAAAGAAATAAAAATATTTCTGTGTATAATGGGCCTTTAATGCGTAAACGAAATTTGAAACTGTGTCTTTTCTGACATTTTTTAAACTATTTTGCTTTTCAGGACGTCCTTAAAGGAACACTTTGTGACTTAGATTCTCGCAAAAGCCTACTTAAAGCTACACAAAAATCTTGCCGTGCGTTAGCACAGAAAACACAGGTAATTAATTGATCTTATTTGTAGTTTGAACGTATTTTATTGCATTTGAAAGCATTTGAAAATAATAGTGAAAATGAGATTTAATGGCATCAAAAAAGCTGGAAGAATGTGTTTTGTACTAAAAAATATACTTCAATACAACATTCTTTGACAAATTAACATCATTTTGTGATTATTTTTCCCAGTTTAACATCATTGTTTGAATCTTACTTGGATTTAAATCATTTTATGAATCTTTCTTGACGAATTTCACAATTTTTGAGAATTTTTCTCTGATTTTTCAACAGGCTTTGGTTAATTTTTCTTAGCGGATTCACAAGCTTTTGATTTGATAGAGTTACATTATAAGTGAAACCTTTTTATACAGAATTTGTCCTTAAGTAAAACTATGATAGATACCTATTTACATCACATACCAGTTGCAAATGGATAGTTTCTGCTTTCATGCATAGGAAATGTGTTATTGTCACTATTATCACTTCTGGAGAATCAATTAAGGAATAATAATCTATAGGGAGATACAGGCAATTTTCATGTCTTCGTTTTGATTTTTTCATTCATTATTCTATAAATGTCCTCAAAATGAATACACTAGACAGTCACATGAACAAACCTTTTTTAAAACGAAGAAAATGTTGGTTTCCTAACTTGACCCACGTGGGTCAGGTTAGAGCGTTAAGATTTCGTAATAGTTGTCACAGTGACATCTGGAAACGTTTAAGAACACGTCAAATGAGTGATTTAGGTTTGTTTCAATCATACAAAATTCATAATATATATGTTATTTTACTTTCCAGGATTTGTTCGAGTCACATGACTACTTTTAAAAATACTCTGTGATCATGTCGGCGTCTTAATTCCGTTCAACATTTATAGATATATATTTACGCTTCAACCCAAAATATATAGAATTTATAGAGACAATTAATCATGCTGGGACTTTAACAAATGTCATTTTAGCGTGATTTGAGTGCATAAAATAATTTGCCTGAGTATCCCTTTATATTTACATTTGATATTTTACGAAATTTGTTAAGCTGTTCTACAAAAAAATATGTACATATAATTATATATGTAATAACCCGCTTTCTTCATTGCATCAGAAAAGATTTTAAACATGACATATACAAATATATGTCATAACGAATGTATATAAATATCCATTATTTACGTATAAGTGTATAGGCACAAGCAAAACTGGAAAGTCGTCGTATGACTTTTAACTAAGTCTGTTGTACTTCTATATACAAGCCGTTAACACTTTCAATTACAAGGAAGCGTTTTTGTTGTTGTTTTTTTTTTTGGTATTTTTAATGTATAAATAGTGTGTGGTCATTCTTTCAACAGATAGATGCTCAAAAGAAACGCCAGGAGTTAACGGTGTATTTTTCTCGTCTGCGTGATGCTCTTGACAGACGAGAAGCGGAACTGCGCGGACAGCTTGATCACCGTGAGCAACAGGTCTCACATAACTATATGACACATTCAGAGTGTGCCAAAAGAAAAGAAAAACTGGTCGACAAGGTTGTAGACGATGCTAGAAGATTATGCACTGATAATAAAATAAAGTTCATACAGGTACAATATGTTGCTTTTTTATATAATACTCTTAGTCATAATCATAATGATATATTTCATACCTCTCGGAAAGTACCGAACAATTTCGAAATTAATGTTACCATAAGACGCATTAGTGGTCAGATTTCACACCAATTGCCTCTCACCGCTTTATTAGTATACTCAATCATGCACTAAGAACTTTCTCAACATTTTTTTTCAAACAATATTTCACTCAATATTTTACGAAGAATATCCGAAGGATAATTTCTATTATTTTTAGCAATATTTGAAATGCTTATGGAAAATATACCCATTGTGGATGGACCAATCCACTCTAAACACAGCAATGTTATGACGTCACATGGATTTCACTGGTAGACATTTCTCCTTGATCATACAAATACAATGTTTTATGTTTGCATCTCAATCCTATTCTTATAAATACATCTTCATGGTTGATTAAATTGCCTTTTTTTTCTTTTGTAGAATTTTCCAAAACAAATTAAAAGGTAAGATTCACATTTTACACTTTTATGAAATTTTGAAATAGAACAAAGTATATACTGATTTTTTTTATGAAGGAAGTTCTTCACAAAATATTTCAAATTTATTTAAAACTTACATAGGTCATACACCTCCTTTACAAAATATATTCTATAAGTACTTTCCAATTCACCAAATCTTTCAGTGTGTTTGTATATGCTTACTGTTATACAATTTGAAATAATTATTGTTTTATCTAAATTAATGTGCTAAGACTAGACAACATATTTATTATTATTATTCTAATAATTAAAATCGTGGACAATCTTTTCAAAATGTCACATGCATATATATCTTGTTGAGTATTTTTTTATGCATAGACTTGTAGCTCTGGCGTTGATGTAGTTCTGTACAATATATTCATATAAGAAGACTTTTATCAAATGAATAACTTTATATGTATATTTTTATATTAACAGTATGTCAGCGCTGTTAACAGACGAGAGTTCTGATAGTACACCCCAGATAAAGGGTGTTGATGACGTCACACTACTTGTCAGCTCCATAGAAAACGAACTGTCTCAAGTACAATGGAAATGGCCAAAGGAAGGTAAATAACGTTTTTGTTCATCATCATCATCATCATCATCGTCATCAACTTAATCATCATCATCATCAACATCATCAACTTAATCATCATCATCAACAACAACTTAATCATCATCAACAACAACTTAATCATCATCATCATCTTCTTCTTCTTTTATTCTCCTTCTTCTGTTTCTTCATCTTCCTGTTTGATTATTGTAATTGCACGGTTACACACTGCAAACATTCAATTATTTACATCTTAACTATCATTGTAAAAAATGTACTTTATCAGATAATTATATTTATGAAATGAAATGTTTATCTAACTTAGTACTTATTTGCTTATTTTACTTTCGAAGTTGTATGAGGGAGTCGATTAACAATATTATCAAGACATTGATTCTTATCATTTCTTTTACTTTCTGTCACATTATGCGCAAATAATCCTTTACATGAATTGGCTTAACTCTTAACAAATCAATTAAATTCTAACTTACTCTGTAAACTGTTTATTTGCTTTCACTTAGATCTCAGACCTGCACGGAAGGCACCACCTGTACCTGCAAGTCGAAAATCAGCTTCCGGTCAGCGACCAAAACCTCAATCTCGGCAAACGCACAACCATACACTTAATGTTGGTACACCAATGAAAAGAGGTAGGGCAGCTTATTTCAGTAACAAAAAGAAAAGCGTGTTGAAACACCTTAAACTTTTTAAACATAGTAAATGCTAATGGTAACCAATAACTTTAATTATGGATGTTTTTTCTTTAATTTTCCCATGCATCTCTGTCATACATAAGTTGCGCATGCGCAAGCAACACTTTACGTTGATCTACATGTAAACTGCAATTCATATAATGATTTCATAAATGTGAAACTTAAGGCTGTAATAGATGTAATTGCGTGTCTAATGGTGTTTTCATAATAAAAAAAATGCATAGCAAAGATACAGCACACTTTTGAGATGTTGCTAGGCTTGGTTTAACTACCTTTGCCAGACAAGATAAGATATTATTTAATGTGACAGGTATATGACCTCGAAACCAGAACAAACAAATACATCTGAATGTGTAGCCGAAAATGTAAAACACTATATTTAATGAGCGAACAATAAAATTAAAGAACATGTTATATACCTGGTGTTTTATTTCAGGAAAGTGTTGGAAGGATGGATTAACGGACGGGGGTCCTGGTCATATTGGAACTATCACAAATATATGCTTGGATGCAAACACCTACACGGTATGTCAAACATACCCTAACATCTCTTCTGATTTATCCGCTCTCTCAAACACATACATTCAAAATGAATAATGCAATTTTCGTCCATTGTTATTGTTGCTTCTTTCTTCGAGGGATTACATTTTTGGTGCGATTGATAGAAAGTTTTTCTCGGCACTGCTCGCGATGGATTGTATGTTGTCACTACCTGAAGGGCTTTTTTGTCGCCACTGCTCTGTCGCCACTGTGTTGAAACAACTTTCGATGATTTTATTGTCACTGCTCTCGAAGAAGTATTTATTTTGTTGCCGATGCCTCGAAAGTTTGTTTTTGTAGGCACTGTTATTATTAGAACTGCACTCCGGAGATTGCATTCCTGGTCATTTCCCTTAGTCGTCATTGTTGTCAATGAATTGGTTTTACACAACTGACGAAAATTTGCAGGACTGACTAACTATGGGTAACAGACAGATAATCAGTACTAATATTTCATTTGTAATATCTCAAATTATGAGCTTTTAGTGGAATGGGAGGAAGGTTCCCTAAATCAATTTCTATATTTTTGTTCAAATTTGGAAAGATTTCTTTTTAGTAAATGCTAATTGGTTTGAACTTTTTATGCCCCCACAGAGTGGGAGCATATAGCGTTGCACTTGTCCGTCCGTCTGTCCGTCCGTACGTCCGTCCGTCCGTCTGTCCGTACGTCCCGAAATCTTGTGAACGCAACTCCTCTTAAACCGGATGGCAGATTTTGCTTAAACTTCCAGGGATGAACAACCTTAATGTGTAGATGGTAGTAAAGGAAGGAATTTTTGCTGCGACCAAATTTAACAGAATTATGGCCCTTGGTTGATTTTTTCACTATATACCATGTAAAAAATTTTGTGAACGCAACTCCTCTTAAACCGGATGGCAGATTTTGCTTAAACTTCCAGGGATGAACAACCCTAATGTGTAGATGATAGTATAGGAAGGAATTTTTGCTGTGACCAAATTTAACAGAATTATGGCCCTTTGTTGATTTTTTCACTATATACCATATAGAAATTTTGTTAACGCAACTCCTCTTAAACCGGATGGCAGATTTTGCTTAAACTTCCAGGGATGAACAACCCTAATGTGTAGATGACAGTATAGGAAGGAATTTTTGCTGTGACCAAATTTAACAGAATTATGGCCCTTTGTTGATTTTTTCACTATATACCATATATAAATTTTGTGAACGCAACTCCTCTTAAACCGGATGGCAGATTTTGCTTAAACTTCCAGGGATGAACAACCTTAATGTGTAGATGGTAGTAAAGGAAGGAATTTTTGCTGCGACCAAATTTAACAGAATTATGGCCCTTTGTTGATTTTTTCACTATATACCATATATATGTTGTCAGTGGGGGCATCCGTGTCCTTTGGACACAGTTCTAGTTTTCATTTTCTTTTGTCAATGGAAGAAGAAAATGTAATCAAATAAATTCATTTCACTTAAAAAGTAGAAAAAAAACATGCTAAATGTTTCAAGTTTTGAGTTTTCTCTCAAATTTTACATTATTATCGATTGTGAAAGAAGAATTTATAAATCAATGATTAAAAAATAACATTATCTTTTTCAGGTCACGTGGCCGAATGGAAAAACCGGTAACTACAAATATTTACCACCGTATGAAGAAGAGATATGCCCTCCCTAAACCATTTGCTTTTGAACAATCAAGTCTTTTATTCAAATCTCATAACCAAATCTCATAGACAACACAAATGTGGTCAAGGTCGTTGACTTCGAACCATTTGCTCTCAACCGCTGATGATTCGTATCCAGTCAGATACTTTGGTTTCATTCATGTGAGAAAGGTGTTAAAAGTCGGTAGTTCTGCTCAGGAACCCGATCGTGCCTTGTAATGCAAGGAGGGGCATCTAAGGTCTTTCCTCACCAGTCGCCAAATGACACCGTGTTTGTGCGACGTAAAACCCCGCAGAAAGAAGAATGCAGAAGTATTAACTTTATATGGATAAATCATAAAAGTGAATGAATACTACATGAACTAAAAAACAACAACAAATGTTGCTGTAGAAACAGGGATGGTTACGTACAATATGTTTGTACAGACACTTTTGAGACAACGATTTCTGTATAATTTTACCTTCACCAAAGACATGAGTGTTTAATATGGAAACACTATAGAAGTAATCATAATTGTAATGGAATTTGATAAGAGTTTAAGATATTTTTGTACCTTAATATGCCACAGATTACCATGATTCAATAAATCATTATAATTATGCTAATTTGTCTAGAGGATTTAGAAGTAACGCCATGTACATTGTATTTTCTGTTGAATATGATAAATATGTTGCAAATTTAAAAGATTTGTGTATGATGAATAAATATATATATTTTAACATTGAATTTTACTATTGTCTTTGTGTTATATCCGATTTGTATTTTATAAGATAATGTACTTCCGTCCTATCCAATAAAGATACATTACAGTTGAATGTCCGTCGTCTGCCGTCCGTCCACACTTGTTCGTTAACACTCTAGTGGTCACAATTTTGCCTCAATCATCATCAAACTTTGTCTGGATGCTTGTCTAGGTAATAGCTAATATGTGTTCGAACATGGGTCATCTCGGATGAAAAACTAGGTCACAGGAGCTAAAAATAGAAAAAATCTTGTTAACACTCTAGTGGCTACTGTTTTGATCCAAATATCCTGGAAATTGGTCTGAAAGTTTGTTTTGATGATTTATAGGTCAACTTTATATATGGGTCACCTGGGGTCAAAAACTAGGTCACACCGCACAAAAACGGAAAAACCTTGTTTACACTCTAGTGGTCACATTTTTGACTCACCTGTATATGGTCCGAAGTACAAGCTGAATAGTGTGAATACCCAACTACTAACGTGTAATTCAAATATTGTGTATGCTGGTGTATCTGGGCTGAACTACAAGCTGAATACCCAACTACTAGCTTGTAATACAAATATAGTGTATGCTGGTGTATTTGGTCCGAACTACAGGCTGAATAGCCAACTACTAGCTTGTAATTCAAATATTGTGTATGCTGGTGTATTTGGTCCGAACAACAAGCTGAATATCCAAATACTATCTTGTAATTCAAATATAGTGTATGCTGGTGTATCTTGGCTGAACTACAAGCTGAATATCCAAATACTATCTTGTAATTCAAATATTGTGTATGCTGGTGTATCTTGGCTGAACTACAAGCTGAATACCCAACAACTAGCTTGTAATACAAATATAGTGTATGCTGGTGTATCTGGTTTAAACTACAAGCTGAAAACCAAGCTACTAGCTTGAAATTAAAATATTGTGTATGCTGGTGTATTTGGTCCGAACTACAAGCTGAATATCCAACTACTAGCTTGTAATTCAAATATTGTGTATGCTGGTGTATTTGGTCCGAACTACAAGCTGAATACCCAACTACTAGCTTGTAATTCAAATATAACGTAAGCTGATGTATCTAGGCTGAACTACAAGCTGAATATCCAACTACTTACTAGCTTGTAATTCAAATATTATGTATGCTGGTGTATCCGGGCTGAACTACAAGCTGAATACCCAACTACTAGCTTGTAATTCAAATATAACGTAAGCTGATGCATCTGGGCCGAACTACAAGCTGAATATCCAACTACAAGCATGTAATTCAAATATTGTGTATGCTGGTGTATTTGGTCCGAACTACAAGCTGAATACCCAACTACTAGCTTGTAATTCAAATATAACGTATTTTGATGTATCTAGGCTGAACTACGAGCTAAATACCCAACTAGCTTTTAATCAAATATTGTGTATGGTGGTGTATTTGGTCCGAACTGCAAGCTGAATACCCAGCTTATAGCTTGTAATTCAAATATTGTGTATGCTGGTGTATCTGGTCCGAGCTACAAGCTGAATACCCAAACTACTAGCTTGTCATTCAAATATTGTGTATGCTGGTGTATCCGGTCCGAATTACAAGCTGAATACCCAAACTACTAGCTTGTAATTCAAATATTGTGTATGCTGGTGTATTTGGTCCGAACTACAAGCTGAATATCCAACTACTAGCTTTTTATTAAAATATTATGTATGCTGGTGTATCTGGGCTGTACTCAAAGCTGAATACCCAACTACTAGCTTGTAATTCAAATATTATTAATGCTGTATCAGTTAGGGTGAACTACAAGCTGAATACCGATATATAAGCTTGTAATTGGCGAACTACAAGTTGAATTACTATTTACAATATACAAGCCGAACTACAAGCTGAATACCAAACTACAAGCTTGTAATTGGCAAATACAAGCTGAACTACGATGTACAATGTACAAGCCAACTTCACATAACTAAAAAATCTTAGCCTATTAATAGCGTTCATCATGAACAAATTTACACGTTAGTTGTACTTTTTGAAATAGTATTTCACTCAGACAGTCAATGGCATTCCTTAGTAACAGTAATGAATTGCATAAATAAGTTTCATACGCTTTCCACGTGCTTCATTTTATCGGTTGTAGCATGTGGGATGGTGGGAGAGGGAGGGGAGGTCATTATGCTAGTCCGCTACACTGTTAGCCCGCCCACTTCACACCGCTAGGAAATGTATCATAACGTTTTCATGCTCATTCAATTAAGTATTACAGTTTAGCCCGCTGGCCCGCCAGCCCGCTCAGTTCACACTGCTATCCCGCTACAATGCTAGCCCGCCCACTTCACACTGCTAGGATATGTATCATAACGTTTTCATGTTGAAGTTTTTGAGTTTATCCCGCTGGCCCGCCATCCCGCCCAGTTCACACTGCTAGACCGCTAGACTGCTAGTCCGCTCAGTTCACACTGTTATCCCGCTAGATTGTTATCCCGCTCAGTTCACACTGTTAACCCGCTAGACAGCTTGTCTGCCCAGTTCACACTGTTAGCTTGCTAGACTGCTAGCCCGCCCAGTTCACACTGCCAGCCCGCCACACCGCTAGCCCGTTACCCCGTGGACTTCACGGCCATGTCATTATGGTCTTTGACAAACGCCGAATACCTGTGATCCTCTATAGAAATTAGACAGTTAAATATCGCTGTCCCCATACTTAATTTTATGTTAAGTTTTAAGGTTAAACAAATGTTTCTAGCTTTATTACATGTACTATTTTCGCTTGATTATCTATCATACTTGACGTAAAACATGTACATGTTACTGTTTTCTATTTGATACCCACATATGTATTTATTTACTTGATTATTGTAATGTCTGTTGTAACTAATGTAACCTTGACGAAATAAAAGAATATTGTATTGTATTATAATATTTAACTTACAAAATATCAGTTTTAAACCGGATTACCGATGTATGTTCTTGTTTTTCTTTTTTATTGTCACAATTCATAGACATATAAATTTCCTATGATATATTGTGCAGCATCGATTGCAGGATAAAAAATACCAAGCGCACAGCTGTTCTACCCGCATCCATAGGATCTGCTTGCAACCAAATAATGGGTGTGCGTATAATTTAAGTAAATATTTACAAAATAAAACCTTGGAACGGTTTAAAATTACAACATCATTAACATAGCAAAAAATATTATGTTATGTTTTTCTTCGGACAAATTCAAATATTGTGTATGCTGGTGTATTTGGTCCGAACTACAAGCTGAATATCCAACTACTAGCTTTTTATTAAAATATTATGTATGCTGGTGTATCTGGGCTGTACTCAAAGCTGAATACCCAACTACTAGCTTGTAATTCAAATATTATTAATGCTGTATCAGTTAGGGTGAACTACAAGCTGAATACCGATATATAAGCTTGTAATTGGCGAACTACAAGTTGAATTACTATTTACAATATACAAGCCGAACTACAAGCTGAATACCAAACTACAAGCTTGTAATTGGCAAAATACAAGCTGAACTACGCTGTACAATGTACAAGCCAACTTCACATAACTAAAAAATCTTAGCCTATTAATAGCGTTCATCATGAACAAATTTACACGTTAGTTGTAATTTTTGAAATAGTATTTCACTCAGATAGTCAATGACATTCCTTAGTAACAGTAATGAATTGCATAAATAAGTTTCACACGCTTTCCACGTGCTTCATTTTATCGGTTGTAGCATGTGGGATGGTGGGAGAGGGGAGGGATGGTCATTATGCTAGTCTGCTACACTGTTAGCCCGCCCACTTCACACCGCTAGTAAATGTATCATAACGTTTTCATGCTCATTCAATTAAGTTACAGTTTAGCGCGCTGGCCCGCCAGCCCGCTCAGTTCACACTGCTATCCCGCTACACTGCTAACCCGCCCACTTCACACTGCTAGGATATGTATCATAACGTTTTCATGTTGAAGTTTTAGAATTTATCCCGCTGGCCCGCCAGCCCGCCCAGTTCACACTGCTAGACCGCTAGACTGCTAGCCCGCTCAGTTCACACTGTTATCCCGCTAGATTGCTATCCCGCTCAGTTCACACTGTTAACCCGCTAGACAGCTTGTCTGCCCAGTTCACACTGTTAGCTTGCTAGACTGCTAGCCCGCCCAGTTCACACTGCCAGCCCGCCACACCGCTAGCCCGTTACACCGCGGACTTCACGGCCATGTCATTATGGTCTTTGACAAACGCCGAATACCTGTGATCCTCTATAGAAATTAGACAGTTAAATATCGCTGTCCCCATACTTAATTTTATGTTAAGTTTTAAGGTTAAACAAATGTTTCTAGCTTTATTACATGTACTATTTTCGCTTGATTATCTATCATCCTTGACGTAAAACATATACATGTAACTGTTTTCTATTTGATACCCACATATGTATTTATTTACTTGATTATTGTAATGTCTGTTGTAACTAATGTAACCTTGACGAAATAAAAGAATATTGTATTGTATTATAATATTTAACTTACAAAATATCAGTTTTAAACCGGATTACCGATGTATGTTCTTGTTTTTCTTTTTTATTGTCACAATTCATAGACATATAAATTTCCTATGATATATTGTGCAGCATCGATTGCAGGATAAAAAATACCAAGCGCACAGCTGTTCTACCCGCATCCATAGGATCTGCTTGCAACCAAATAATGGGTGTGCGTATAATTTAAGTAAATATTTACAAAATAAAACCTTGGAACGGTTTAAAATTACAACATCATTAACATTGCAAACTTTTTGTTTAATGTTTTTCTTCGAACAAGACATTTATTAATCATCTATAGTCCCATATAAATGTACAAGTCTGTGGTGAAATTTTATCCTTTTTTTATGACATTTTATTTCAAAAACGCTCGAACTAGAATATGTGGGATAGTAGTTTTATTATCAAACAGAACAGAACAGAACACATTCTTTATTTGGAAGACACAATCACAGATTATAAGCAGTGGG